AAAAATTTATATCTTTATGTTTGAAGCCTGAAATGTGGCAAAAGGTTGAAAAGTTCAAGGGGGCCGAATACTTTCGCAAGGCACTGTATATATTTTTACAGAGAATCAGAGAAAATTATCATCAAATACTCCTTTACAAATCCATGGGGTACGATTGTTGTAATATTAAGGGTTGTTTACCATTGACGATGTTAATGGTACATATGACATATTTATTTTCAATGACCCATTGAACGTGTGCTATTTTTTCCAGTTTTTCGGATTCTACTATAATTCTAGTCGGGAAGGAAGTCTAGTCTTGATCATTACCGCAGCGTACCCCGTTCGTTTGAATGGCTGCATCTGTATATCTTATTCCACTGTACTTCTAGTACAGTGTTTTTAATTCCATTACTACCATTAGACATACTTTGATTTTTTTTTCTTTTTTGCAAGTAAGATTGTCTTTTTAAGTTGTTTAAGTCAATAGAATAAAACAACAAAACAACAATTTTCATTGCTTTATTTTGTATGCAACTCGTATTACGGTACATACATGTATACCGCAGTATACCGTGGTACGTTTTCCAGAGGCAGTACCCAACCCTAGTTTTGAGTCTACTCAACATGCAACACAGAGGCCATGAATGAAGAAACACACTGTGAAATCACAGTAAATCTAAGGACAGAGTTGTTTGGGACACTTTAAAACATAAAAAGCTGTACTGTATATATATATACTGTGTGGACCCATTACAAATTGGCTTGGTGAACCTGTAGAAGCAACAAGCAGACACTGCCACAAGATTATATGCCTCTTCAATATACAGCAAGATTCTAGATTGCAACTAAATAAATCTAACAGGGAATTTAATTTGGGTAGCTATGATACAAAGACAGAGGTAAAAATGTTAATTATTCAATACATTTTATATAGCCCATTGAAATGTGCAGTTTTCATTTAAAATAAGCAATATTCACTAACATTTTGCTCTCCATTTCACAGTAAAACATTATCATCTAGAATATGGTAAAATACTGTGACCAATCACCAGATAAAAATACTAAAATTATTTAGATAAGGCTGATGTGTGAAACAACCATAACTGAGCTATACTTAAATGACAAAACGTTTTATGTCATAAAAAAGTTTATGAGTTTTTAATAAAATGTTAACCTTGCAAAATTTTACAATTATTTAAGGCTAATTTTCTTAATAATGTCAAAATGCACAGATGACCCTAATCCTAACTAATGGTATCAAACATTCGACGAATGTAATTAAAATCAATCAACTTCATATGCTGTTGTACTTAATGCTTTAGTTTTTTAGTAACTATATATATATTTTTAGTAATTATTTACAATTAATGTTTACAAAATCAATCTGTAAACAAATACTACAATTTAAAAAATAGATTATGCACCCCCCCAAAAAAAAAATATTTACCTAAAAACCACCAAAATAACCATACAACAACAGCTTCTGTATTCTCAGTATATATGCACACACAGTGATCATTTTTGCATTTGATTTTGAAAGAAAACTAGCACATTGCAAGAACTACAAGAGCAGGGCACTTTACTGAAAAACTAAGTACACTGATCACAAGTACAACAGCAGTGCTTCATGGAGGTTTTTAACACACAGCCTTCAACAGTTACAAGTCCAGAGCCCTAACTACTACTCTTCAATGCTTCTTTAAATTCAAAAGTATCCACCGTAAAGTCAATCTTCAACCTGATATACTGTAGTCATTTGCTAATAATAAAGAACTTGTATCAGAGTTAACAACAAGTTCCCATTTTTCATGTATGATCATCCATAAGATAGTGGTGGTTTTGCAGTTCCCTAGGTTCACTGTAGGGAATGCTGTACAGTAGTAAAAAGAGCAAATGCAGAAGCCCGAGTGTAATCCAGACTAGTCAGGTAACAGTGATGAAACCACACGACTGAAGACATTAACCGACTAGAAGCACAGGGCGCGATGCAGGACTACTCCCGGGATGGGACACCAGTCCATCACTGGGTACACACAGGTCTATTTACAGCCATTGGTTAACCTAGATCTCTGCTGGCAATACTAATATAAACATGCAAAATATGGTGAATTGTTACACTTAAATATGTTTGAGATACTGTAGAGATGCTACTGTATGCAGGTTATTTACAATGTAAAGGATAGCACCTTACACAAAACTTTAAACATATATATCTTCATATTTTATATTCTGACACACAACAAAAAGGAGTGTTGCGTTTCATTACCTTTTAAACCTGTTTTGTTAGACGTGCTGATTCTTGTTACTCCCATACACTTCCTAAGTTTTGGATTTATCACTGTATCCAGAAGAGGGTGTATAGAACAATATCATTTATAAAAATCTTTGTAGTATTATTTATTTTTGCTTTTTATGTTAGGTTGAGACACCAAATTAAATCTTCATTATAAGTGTCATTGTTTATTAACATCACAATTAGTATTGTCTGTTCTTATCTCAACACTGAACAGTAAAATACAATAAATATTATCAAGGTAAGGATGAAATCATTCCTGGGTTCAGTAAAGTATAACTGTCAACTGGAACAGAAGATACAGGTGGCCAAATGCCTATAGCAAAGTAATTACAGTACAACTGAGGGGAACTTAACTGAAATGATAAATAATTCAATGTACTTTAACACTTTGCTTGCCATCATCAATCCAATGTTTAAAATACGTAAACAAAAGCTCAGAAACTGTGCATGCAGGTATTTATTTAGGCTACCTCAAACGGGTGTGGAGTTTAAAGTTTAAACTCATAAACGAATATCTATTCGTATCTAAACTATACTAAAAGCGATCAATACTTGAAAAAATAACAGAATTGATGTTTCTCTAATCCCGAGTGACTGATTCGCCAGAATCCTTTCGAATGTTTCTTGCAATAGTAGGTGACGCCAGGAAAGAGCTTCAGTAAAACAGGAATAAGCAAATTTCGTAGCTGCATATTACTGCTAGCGTACGGCTACCTCAATACACCATTCAATTTGCTTCCCGTGTAAAAGAGCTAGAGTCTCGACTGTTGTTGGACTGGAACCGAGTATTTTCTCTCTTGCTGTTTTTAGTCATTACTTCTCTCACATCCTTCACGTTGGAGCTACGGGGTATAAAGACAGTAAGGGAAGAGATGGAAAGATAACTGCGAAACGCAATGCAAACAACAACTTTGGCAGAAAAACGAAAACTCCTGCCTGGAAAATGGAAACTCATTCTCACAACTGAAACCGTAATTAGGAGCTTTGCTTCGGCTGTTCTGTCACAGGAAGTAAGGCGAAGAAAAAGTCCAAACAAATTACAGCACCAGCTAAGGCTGCCAGTTTAAAAACAAGTATCTGGTTAGTACAGGAGCAACTAAGCATGTAAGACACACTAACCTGTATCACTCAACTGTGTTGAGATGTGAAACAATTTATTCGGTCGCCAGTGCTCTCCAATCCCTTCAGCTGCCAGTCTGTGTGAGCTGTCAGTCCAGTCCGCAAATCATCTGCTTCTACGCACTCTCGCTGCGCACTATACGTCACCGCCAGCATTTAGGCCACAGGTTCTGACGCGCGCGCGCAGCCAAGTTACAGAGAGTTTAGGCTTCTGGTAGTTCTTCTGCCTAATAATGCGCCTCGACAGACCAAAATTAAAGTATGCAGTTTTGCACTTCCAACAGTTTACAGCTTGGTGGTTGTAAGTTGCCCTAGGATGCCTACTAAGTAACTATTGATATTGGTGACAGTTAAATACATCCGTCGTATTATGTATTATTACATTTCAATTCATTTTTTTATATATAGCGCCTTCCACAACAGGGTTGCCCCAAAGCACTTAACAAAGCTGTCTGACAATACATGACATTACATTACAATATAATGTACAACATATATTAACAATCATGTTCAGGAAATATTTAAATATTCTTCTAGTAAGTGTTCCCACTGTAAGTAACCTCGGAACAGCATTTAAGTGGCATATACCCATTTTTGGTATATCACTTGATTTGAGCACTGTATTAGTTTAATGCCTAGTGTTGTTTGCCCAATGCCTTCGTTGAAGTTACTAGTCTGAACCAAGAAAACATTGGATATTCCCTTTTCAGATTTTTTTTTTATCATAGTAAATAAGGTATTCCCATGGTAAACTTTTATAAAACAAAACGCAAATTGCAACCATAAAAAAACTATGGTAGGACCACAGTAAAAAAAAAAAAGAAAATTCATGTAGTACATCCATCCATTTTCTAATCACCTACTTCTGGGTCAAAGGAAGCCACAGACCGTCTCAGCAAGCAACAGGTGCAAGGTGGAATACACAATGTGCAGGCCACCAGTCCATTGTAGGTCACACACAGAGACTAACACCAGGGTCATACATGTATATAACCTACCACTATGTTAATGTTATTGTTAGTGGGAGAAAAGCCATGTGAACACAGGGAGAATATACACTCTACTAATATAGTGTCACGCCCTCTGCAACCAGAGGGTGCTCCTACTCTGTCCTGTCTCTTGTTTCCGGTGCTTTGCTTTCCTTCCGGTGTCTCTCTCTCTCTGGGGCGATATACTTGTATTTCTGGGTCTTTCATTTGCCTTCGCTCAGCATTGACGTTCAGATGTCCTGAAACACTCCTAGCACCAGGTCACCCCACGTCCGCTACCTGAGGGCATAAGTTTCTATACAGCATTTCCTGAACAGCTGAGCCCGGGCTAACCCCCATTTCGGCACTACGCATAGGGTCTTTTACGCTTTCCTGCCATTCCACGGTTCGTCCTTTCTGACATCCGTGACACATACCACCCCAGGTCTGGAATTGAACCCCATTGCAAGGCAGCAATGCTAACCACTGCACCTCTATAGTACACTAACCAAGGAAAATTGTCAGAAGTGACCTAAGGAGAGTTTTATTTTGTTACTTATTTTTGTGCTTCACAGTCTAGTGGCTCTTAATTTGAAAACTGAAGGGACTTGCAATCCATCCACTACTGAAGAGCAGCACCCTCTGGGGATGTGCTCACAGGAAATCAATCAGAAAATAATTGTCTGAGCTACTTAAACTAGACAAGCAGATTTACAGTAGGTGGGCCAAAGTGAAAAAGCCTGTACTGGAATAGTCAAGAAGCCAGGGAAAGTGGGATAGTGGGTGGCAAGATGGTGCAGTGGTTAGCATTGCTGGTTGGTTCTAGACCTGGGGTGCTATGTGTGTGGAGTTTTTTTTATACTTTCCACGTTTGCTTAGGTTGTTGCTAGGTGCTCTTGTTTCTTTCAGCAGTCCAAATATATACTGGTACTGTTAGATAATTGGTTTCTGGGAAAATGAGACCTGGTGTCAGTGTCTGCATATCTGTGTGTGATCTGTGATAACTTTGTGGGTTTTATCTTCCCAAGTATATTGTCCCGAAAACATAGCATTTCCATCCAATTAATAATATTACTTTCGGTAACAGATTTAAATATAACACAACATTGCTTCCTTTTTCTTGACATAAATTACAAGAGATATAACAGGGGCACTGGAGATTTTTTTTTTAATCAAGTTAATTTAACTGTCACGAGTGTAGTCCCTTCCCCTTAAAGGCGCTCCGGCTCATTCACTTTTTAGTTGATTTTGTGCACCTGCTCCCTGTTCCAGCCCACCTTTAAAAGCCATTGGAACATGGACTTTCGGAGGCTCGCCTATCAACGAGTCACCCTACGTCCGCGGCTCAGGTGGCATTCGACTCCTAGGTGTCCTGAACCAGCCGTGCCCTGGACCTGGAGCGCCTGGTTCCATTCCCCCTTTCTTCCCCCCGACCCTTTGCAGGATCCGCTCCGGTTTTTAACTTTGTCATGCCTGTCTACAACCCCTCACCAGATTCCGCTCCTGCTTTTAACTTTGTTTTGTTAGTCTTGGATTTATCACCCAGCTTTGGACCTTTGCCAGCACTGGACTTCCCTTTGGACTCCCTTTTGGACTGTTCACCTGGACCACGCCCCCCGAAGCACCTTCGTCACACCTCCCGGTTCCTCTACCAGCCCAGTTCCTCCTCTACCCCCTATGTGTGTGTTCACTCCCTTCTGGATTGTGTTGTCTGCATAGGGTCCTAAAGACAAGTCAACAGTAGAAAAAAGTAACTGATTTGCAAATTTCACACTTTGTTATTTAAAAAGCATTTTAAAAAAGGGAGACATTCTTTTGACAGTATCTCATACTATATGTCAGATTTTTAAGCAAAACTCTTCATTGTGGTTAGTAAGTCTGGCCTGTATATCCTCTAAACCAAGAGACATTGACCCATTTTTATTTTGCTCTTCCCTTGGTCTTCCTTGCTTGTTTGGAGTTGTTTGTGCCTTCTGCCGTGACTTGTTGAGATATGCTCTAGGTCTCTTGAAACCCTGAATTTCATTAAGGGTTAGAAAATGAATGAAATAAAATTCTTAAACAGTGATTACAATGTTGGAGTTAAGAGGACATGGTCACTCTCTTGTGGCTTTGGGTGGACATAAAGGACATAGCCTCTTCCCTACCTCAAATTACCTGTTTGAGTGTTTGGCACCACAAGGCAGTTCAAAAGCATCGATTTTCTGATGCGCAGCCTTACCTATAGTCCAACTTTCACATCCATATGTTGCTACACGGAAGACCATAGCTTTCACTATAAGGATGACAATATAATGTTGACAATGTAATATCTTTGCACTTTAATATCTTATCCAGATTTTCCATAGCTTTTCTCCCAAGAAGCAAGCGTCTTTTGATTTCAAGGCTACAATCACCATTTGCTGAGATACTTGAGCCCAAGAAAATAAAATCTGTCAATACCTCCACTTCTCTATCTGTTTGCAAAGGATTAATATGGCCTATTAACATAATCTTTATTTTTTATGTTAAGCAGCAGGCCAGCTTTTCCACTTTCTTCTTTTACGTTCATCAACAGATTCTTCAACTCCTCCTCGCTTTATATGACTGTATATTGCAGTATGTTAAATATAAAATTAATATTTAAAAAGAAAGTAGGGCTATTTTGCTTCTATGTGCTTTGGGGTAATGGGTGGCATTGTCCAGTACCACAAGAATATATGTGTGGCATTGTGGTGTTCTTTGTAGTAGTCCCTCCAGTTCCATGAATCTCCTCTTGTATGGTTCCTCAATAATAAGGACCAGGTATAAGGGAGCATGCAGTCTGGGTTATAAAGAGGTTAACTGGCAGTCGGGACAGTCTAAACAAAATCACTTAATCTCTTTATACTTCTGTGTGTCTTATCAACTTTTAGATCTCCACACAGCTCATCGGTGTGAGCCTGTGATTCTGTGGAATCTGTCTATCCTCCTGTTCTCCATTAAATCAATATACAGGTCATTTTTTTGATGAATGAGGAGGATATTTTAACTCGTCCTTTGACTGAAACCCCATTTATTTCTATTACCTGAGCTACCTTCTTGGACACAATGGAAATTTCCTGTGAGGAAATTAAGGGAGACAGACTTTTTGTCTGGCTTTTGGGTTGATGTCAGTTGGAGCTACTTCATTTTTTTCTCTTATCTGGATGGCAACACATAGGTTGTTTTTCTAGCAGACCCCATGACAGCCACCCTGAGTAGTATACCCCTCTGTTTTTCTGCTGCCATATTTTTGGACTCAACACCAGGTCCAGGCTAATGTAGGGCTCCCACATTTTCATGGGTCTTTGAAGGTGACTTTGGCTCATTTAGCAAGGCATAGGTCATCAAGACGAAAAGGTTAGGAAGTCCTGACAAAGTAAAAGAGCGCAATCCCCACACTGACTGAGTTTGATGTTATAAGCAAAGGGTTAATTTTGCTGTGGGATACTCCCTTTTATACCCCTAAACACAAGTAACAGTAATTTTACAGGAGGTTACTACTGATTTAGCAACTAAAGTTATGGTACTCCCAGAGTCAATTAGGACTTGAATGACTTTACCATTGATGTGAGAAATGTCCTCAAACTGACTGGAGAATTGAGTATCTCTCACTAAGCTACACCACTTCTTCTGTGGGTCTTGGGTAAAAGAATAATAGGGTGTGATGTGGCCCCACTGGTCTTAAACAGGATTTGCTCTCAAATCAGGATTCCATCCTTTTCCCACAGCTTTGGAGTCAAACTTTAGGTCTATTTCCTTATTCCAATGCCATTCTTCTCTCAATCTGCTTTATATCCTCAGACTCCCCAGTAATAGATCCCACCCTGTTATTTACCAAGTCCTTAGCAGTAAGATGCCTCACAAGCAGAGACATAAATTAATTAACATGATCAGACTGGCAGACACTGTGTCCTTAGGCCAGCTGGCAGACTGCACAAGTATTGATCCAGAATAAAGACTTTCTACTATTTGGGCTGACTTCTGGGTTTCTGGTTCCAGCCACTTACTTGCTAAATTAATGAAATCAAACATTTGGGAACAGTCTGGAATTGAGGGATTATAATGCCAGTTGTACTACCTTTGGGCCTGAACTCTCGGTAGACCCTTCCTTTGCCACATTTGAAGCCTTTAACAATTTCTAGTCAGAAGCCTGTTGCTGTTCCTTTGTGTCGGCGGGAGATCTGAATCCACATAAATTGAATGAGTATTCAACATTCTACAATGCATCTTCAGTATTCAATTGTTACCTCAATTCCAGTTGATGTCAATTTAATTCATGAGTGATGTACTTGCTTTTGAGTATCTAGTGTAGAAGTTGTAATCAAAAAGCTCATTAACGAAACAGTATAAATTAATGGTATACTGAATGTATGTATCTCTTGGTATTTGTAACTCTTCGTGATTGAATATATACCTTTTGTATTCTGCTAACCCTCACTATAAGATCTGTTATGTTTTTATGCACATTTTATGTATTAATAAATGTATTCTCATGTATTAGTATCTGTGTGTGTGCGTTGCTGAGTTGTTCCGCAAGGTCGATTTTCTAATAACCATTGAAGAATAATTTTGTGATTTACTGCTGCAATTAATAATTGTCCCAGTGAATGCACAAAACCCCTGCACTGAAATCACCATGCATATGAATGAGCTCAGCCTCATAACTGCACCTGTTATACTGTAGGTCCTTTTGGGAATGTTGATGGTATTTATTGCAAAAATTGCTATTTTTTCCTCAGGATATTGACACCTCAGCTTTCCACAATTCCAACATGTTAAAGAACATTTGAGACATTGCACAAACCATATTACTGGATTTGGAGTGTACTTCCAAAAACTGGTTTAAGATTTAAGGATTTCCAAAGTTTTGGTCCGATGTTTTCTTTACTGATTAAACCAGACAGCTTTGATGGAGACATGGATTTTTTAGTGTTTTAGTGACAGCAACATAGATTTTTTGGTTTCAATGGATGTGTGTTGTGGATCTGAAATGCAGATAATTGAAATAGAAGTTCTGGGATCTGTGAAACACACTTGAGGTTACTGTAAGCAATCATAGCTTCTCTTGTATGACCAGTTCGATGTCATCTGCCAGTGAAATCTGTCTGTTTGAATAAAGTGTCATTTTCACTGCTATCAGCATTTGGGTCAACACACCTCTGTGAACAGGTATTTTCACATATGATTGTCACTCCCTAAGTCAACTAACAACAAAGTGTCAAGTTACCAGACTGAGATTGGAGAAGCTAGGTAAAGTAAGGTCAAGGATCACACTCAATGGTAAGACATGCATATTACTGTATTACTTTTAGATACTCTTATATTTTAAGATTAATTTTTCATTAATCAAAATGTAAGTAGGGTTTTTTTTTACATTAAAAAAGATGGCATGCAAATCCATAAAAACAAGTGCTCTTGGCATGAAAGTTTTGGAATGTGTTAAAGCTCCACAGAATTCACATGGCACCTTTAGAACTAATAAGAAGGCCGCTGTAGATGTTCTGCTCCTAAGCTTTCAAGATCAATCCTTAAATTTGTTTTGCAGAATCATTAACCTATCTTTTCCCACTTCATCTGTTGCATCTTGTTCCTGGAGGTCTGAAACCTGAGCTTATCATACAAACCTCCCTACTGCTCCTGCACACTATACTATCTATACCGCTAAATAACAAAGCCCCCAACTTACCACTTCCCTCTTACTCCCCTCCCCAGTTTCCCCAGGCTTACTGTGCCCAGATTTGGTACCAGTGAAGCCTGAAAGACTTTGCATTACAGCAAACTCTGGGGATGCCATCCTTTCATGGTGTGCACACTTTTCCCTACATCTACAACTCTCTCTCTGCTCTGAAGCCTACTGGGGATTATGCCTCCATACAATCTCCTGGTACTGCATGTCAACCTAGTTTCTAAACTTTACCAAATCTTAGCTACAGTGTAGGACAGCGAACTGGGTCTCAAGTCCATGAATCTTGAATTCTTATATGAAAGCTCTCAAAAAAGCCAATCATCCTGCAAGTACACATTGCTACTTTTTTTTGCTACAGTAAATATCCTCAAACTCTAAATTGTAAATATCTTTATTTGATACTGAATTTAATATGTTTTTGGAGTTTGGGAGGGGTGATGACAAGCAAGCTACTTTCATGTCAGATATTTAAAGTCATACATTGCCAAGATCAATCACTCTCAAAGCATGGTGTAGGTTATGCAAATCCCACAATTTTCACATTTCGTTTCTTGCATTCTTTCTCCTCCCCACCTCCACCTTTGTAGCTTCCTGGTTTTTGATTTCTCGCTCTGCATAGAGGTCTTTGTCCCATGCCAAATCTCACTAAACTCAAACACTCAATAAACATCCGCAAAAATCTTGGGTGTCATTCTTCTTTATTTGTGTAATGGAAATAGGAAATGAAACTTTATGTATATCTGCTGTCCTGTTAAAGTAAATAAAATGTGATTACTTCTAATTACCCACTTACCTCTCTTAATTTTTTTTCTCCAGAACAGGCATTAAAAACTAGGAAGAATTCCTCCCTGGCCCCTTTACTATACACAAGTTCCATACATGCTGTAATACACAAGTTCCAGGTGCATTTGCTTTTTATTCTTTTTAAATAAAAACTTTAAAAAATGAAGAGATTAAACAATGACCAACAAACAACAACAAGTTACACATAATTCGCTAGACAACTCTAGTTTTGTCTATGCTACACCAATGTACCAACAAGTGTTGCATGGTTGATTTTGTTGAGATGTCCATCAATCAGTGATGTTGCTGCGTATTCTAGAGGTGGTGACAGGGACAAACTGTTGGAGAAATTTTTCCCTGCTTCCACTTGAAAGACAGTCACGAGTCCGTCTCAGAAGTCAAAAGAAGTTTTTATTTCATTCCCATGGGAGCGAAACACACAGAGATGCTCGGTGTATTTTTTTCTAACTAATTTATCTGGAACAGTGCTTAAACATTTTTCTGTTATCTATCACGCTTCCCTGTGCTTACAAGATTGGCATGTTCTAAAATCACGCATATCGTCCTACCTCCCTATTTGCTAAAGATAACTTATTTTAATACAATTGGTTTCTTAGGTTCATAGCATGCATTTTTATATAACGGTACAGATTTACATAGTAGCCCTTGTGTCCAGCATTCTTCCAATCCAGTTCAAACCAGTTCTGAATGTCAACCTTATAAAATATTGCACCTTCTGCAGGAAAAGTTCACCCTCTCAATAAAAACTACTGCCTCAAACCATTAGACTACTCACTCACCAGATTTATTCATCCTTCGCTGTCAGGCTTTGGGGGGCACGGAAGAGAGATTGGACTGTACATAGAATCCCGCTGAGTGACAAATCACACATGTGATGTAAACACATGTAGTGTTCCTTGTCACATCATCCTCCATCTCCTCTTCATTTCGCACAATCTTCCAGCTGTCACCACCAATTCACAAGTGCTGCTGCAAACATTAATATTTCCCCCCTATATCTTACATGAGTAATTAAAATACATCAATTGCACTTTAAAACGAGTACGTAATTGCTTAGAAATGATATTATTTACAAAAAAATGGCATATTAAACATTAGTTCATCCATTTTTAACTGCTTTATTACAGAGCTACAGGGGAGCTGGTGCCTATCCCTGCAAGCAACTGCCACGTGTCAGGATACAGCCTGTATAGGATTGTAGTCCATTACAGGGCACACACAGACACAAACATACACACCAGAGCCATTTTTTTAAAAGCCAAATAACCTATCAGTATGTCTTTGAACTGTGGGAGGAAACCAGAGAAAACATACTAACTCCATGGTGATAACACCCCAGGAACTGACCACAGAGCCCCAGTTCTGCAAGGCATTAATATCAAACACTATGCCACTGTACTCTTCACACCCTAAATAATACATAAGAAACTGTTTATTACAAAGTATCCTAATACATATAGTATGTCAACATACATACCAAATTAAATAATGGAACACAAATATTCAATGATTAATTCATATTTAAATTTTTAAAAGTAAACATTCTGTGAAATGTAGATGTCATTTACAAATGCCATTAAATAAGAAGGAAGAGCTGTGAACTTCTCTTCTGCATGTTAATCTCACAATTGTTCAACACACAGCCAGGGCCCAGCAAAAATCCATTGGATATCTGTAGATCAGTCATTAAAACATGGATTGGTGTTTAAATGAAGAGATGCACATTAATAGTTGATACTACCTGTTATGAGCAGCAGGCAGTGGATTTTTTATTTAGCAATGACTGTATTTTTTAATTAAACTGACAGTCTGATATTCAAAGGCCATCAATAACAGAAAGGTTTGGAATCACTAGATCATTAACTAGGGGAACAACAGCATTTTCACCAAACAACATTCCTAAATCAAAGCCCCAAGTTTGAATATTAATGTTTGCTTGTCAGCTTTATTTTTGCTTGGTATTTTTTTTAGATAGTTCGTGCCATTAAAACTAGTGTTAATTTAATTAAATAGTGTCCACTAAGCAAACTTTTGTAAGTTAAGAAAGAGCAGATGAAAGCTCTGTGTCTTTCAAGTGAGAAATCAGATGTTGTGTGGAGTCTTTCACTTGCTGACAATGGAGACCAGAAGAGACATGATGCAAAGAGTCCTACTGACATCTCTGAGCAGAAAAGCACATTATAATAGCTGTCTAAACTGATTTGTTTGCATATTTATAAATTCTACAAAATTGCCAGTTAAGGTACCACATTTAGCAATGTGCCAATTGGTATAAAAGCATGCATTCTACATCTTTGACCACACTGAAAGAAATACCCAACTTGACTACAGTGAATCCAGAGCCAAAGTGTAATACAAAGACTTCCTGCTTTGATAACAGATGTGGTAAAACCACTACATGCTACTCACAGAGTAAATGCCAAGAAAGTACTCATTCATGCATTGCTGAGTCAGACTTATTTAGTTTATTCAACATTGTGTCACACTGTTATGGATTACTCAATTTAATAGGGTAAGGTTCTTTTATATCTCCAGAAATATCAAGCTGTTACATGTTTAGTGTGGGGCTTTAGCAGAAAGAATTGTTTGACACTAGCAGAACCACTGACACTGCCAGTGAAAAAGAATTCAGTGGGAAAGAGCAGGTGACCAAGAAGACAAAACATTTAAAAGTAACAGAGGCATTAAATCTTCCATAAAGCCTTGCTTCAGAACTTGAACACAGTTTTATTGTAATTCAGATCTATACCTATTCACTTCTTACCACCATTAGAGATGATTACTTATAGAAGAAATACTGCTACAGTACTGCCTGGTCATAACAATACTTGTTATATTCCAAAAAGAGACAGAGAGGGTATTGGCATTCATAATTGTACATAATATATAAACATTAAAGTTATCATCTCTGTTCTTCAACTGAATAATTGCAGGCCTATTGTAATATTGTAATTATTCCAGATATCATCATATATGCAAATAAGTGGTTTTAGAATAGCAGTGTTAAAGATGGGATGTTTGTTTCTTTAAGAGAATGGAGCATTGTGGGAAATCAAGTTCTATGTTTAAAAATTTCAGTTTGCACGGTGTTAGTTGAATGGGTGAAAAGTGAATGAGCTAGCACTGGTTTATTTTGTAATTTTGGGTATTATCCAAAAGTGTAGAGGCTTGCTCTGGCCCTAGAGATTACACAGATTCTACAGAAGCTCCCCTGAGTTTCCCTGACCACTGTCTGGAGGCAAGATCATGAAAAGTAATAGCAGTAATAATGTGTTGAAGCATTCCAAATGTTAAAAAAAGTATACATGTTGGTGTCACAAGGGTGTCACAAGTGTGTATTCATGAGATAGCTGGCTAAACGTACATCACTAAGAGCTTCTGGTAAAGCACAAACCAAACAAATGGCTATTGGAGGAAGCTATCATTGACTATAGAAATTATTAGGAACTACAAATTTAATTATCTTGTCATTCACTAAATTACTGATTGTATCCTACTGTACTTGTCATCTTAAATGTTACTTTTAACACACATAATGTCTCTGTCCTTAGACTCCTAAGTGACCCAAAGATGGCTGTTTCTGTAGATTTAAGAACATCCTACTTAATACTCTTAATGTTCTAGAATGTAGCTTTGCTAATTTGTTTCTGGTACAGCGACCTCCTTCCCATCTACAATACTCAGTTGGAACCCCCAGAAGTGGGGCAAGCTACTGTATACAGTGCCTGACACCATATATACTGTACATCCACAAAACAGACAACAGATTCTTGGTTACCTAACAGGTCATAGATTAAGGGGGAAGAGTGAAGCAGGCACTGAAAAAAGCCTTAAAAGTGTATGCTGATTATGGCACAAATACTTCTCTAACCAAATGGCAGTTATTTTGCATGAATAAATATTGGTGTCAGATTTTAAAATAAGTATTGGAATCACAAACCAATAAACGTAATCCCTACATATATTTATTTTGCACTGATATCAATAAATAAATACTGGTGTTTCACCTAACATCTCGAAACCGCCTCAAACAATGTGTATTGGAGAGTGGAAAGATGCGCTCGAAGTTCCCAGTGCTGTGAACGCACCTTGATTAAAAAACTAACTATAGTTTATTTCTCTCATAGACATCTCTTAATGGTATTCAAATCATTGCTCTACCTCAAAGCAATGAAATGTTTTGTTTAGTACAAGGGAATTTATATAGGTATCCTTTAAAAAAAGAATAGGACACCTACATCATAGTGCTTTCTTTTCCATTGAGGAATTAATCCATCTGTCCACTGGCCTGATTAGAGTTCTATGGTTTGGGAACCTGTGTTCCAAAACCTGACTTCTCTGGTTTTACACAATTGTTCAGTGTGTCTGTTGTTCAGTCATAAGGAAAAGAAGGAGGGTTACACCTCAGTACTGATAGCCCTGGTGTTGGTGAAACTGTCCTCGCCGGAACTCATCTGGACACCCTGCAGGGGGGCCAAGTTGATGGCCAGGGCTGGATTTTCGTAATGAGCAGGCATGTAAGTGATTCTCTCGCCTCCATTGTGCAGCTCATCCCGGGTCTGCATGTAAAAGGGAGAACTGTAGGGGGAGCAGGTGGGACAGTAGTTGCGGGTGGCAGTGCAGGGACTAGCACCAGCCTGACTACTGTCAGCAGGCTGCACCGGAGGGCTGAGCATGGAGCCAACCACTTCTGGCCCACTGCAAGCATTACAGGCGAAGTGCGGCTGAGCTGGTCCATCAGAAACTGCATCGGCATCCGACTCATCCCTCTTGCAGCAGTAATACTGGGTAAATGGGAGATGAATCAGCAAACCGTCACCAATATCTCTTTCTGTCTAATTTTCCGCAGGATGCAAATCTACTCAGAAAACAGATATGCAGAAATCAGTGCAAACAAGACCAACAAACATGTTAAAACCAAACCTTACCTGGAGCCTACAGTAACAGAGCACTGCTATGATACACAGTAGTATCACCGTTGCTAGTATTCCTCCAGTAATAACAACAGTTCCAGCTGTCATCCGACCGGATCTCCATCAAACCCTGGAAAGAACAAAATAAAACAAGAGTCCAGGCATTTCCTGTGTGCAGTCTGCTAAACAGGAACTCCAAGATGAGTCCAATTAGCCGTACCTCTGAAAGAGACGCACTAGGCTTCTATTATTAAAGATTTTTTTTTTATCAATTTCCACTCTAGGTGGTAGGTAGCTCTTACTTATGCTTATTTTTAAAATTCCTCTCAGTATCCTGTCTTAAATTTAGATATTAGTGATTCCCTGCTATAAAGAGCCTCCCCAGATCTAAATCCCGTGAATAGGGCTCCGTCTCTAGGCATGACCCAGTAAACAGGATAACTTCAGTCCACATACTGTAGTTTAAACTGAGGTCAAAGGAAATGTAAGTACTGGTTTAGATCTCCCCTTTTAAAATTGTCAGTCTGAACTGGATAATTCAATAGATTTAATTAATGTCTTTATTAAGATGTTAGCTCTGGAAAATGTGTGTGTTAATCTCAAGAATTGCTTTTACTTTAGTCTAAGCCTGGACAGTTTGCACACTTTGCAAATTTTTTCACCTGAGATCCTACACAACAATCTTTTAAAAAATTGAATTTGATTATTCTTGTATATTGCACATGGAAGTGCTATGGTTTATAAAAGAGTTCTAAACTTCCAAGAACCTTGAGATCTGCTTTTTTTCTAATCTTGCACAGCACCAGCCATATCCTCTCAGACCTTTTGTGTACTTATCTTCCATTTTGTGATGGGGAAATGCATTAAACATCACCAAATTAAGATCACAAAAATATATAAACAAGAGGAGGCCGAAGCATATACTTTCAAGAAATGGCTGGATGAGATCATTGGATTGGCTATTGACGACCAAGGTAGGAGATGCCATAATAGAGGTATACAATGCATACTAGGTATATTGTGTCAGTCCCCATTACAAGTACTGCTATTGTACCTTGAAAAAGATACTTTATTCCAGTTGCTGTAGTCTAGCCAGCTGTATAAGTGGGGCTTTGCATTGCTGGGGGTTAATCCCTGTGACCTACAATATCTAGGGCAAGAACCACATGAAATGCCACTGAAAACCAGGATGTGCTCTGGCAATATTGATATAATTTTTTATTGTGAGTTCCACTACATGGCTATGTAGCTTGTTTAAGACACCTACAACCATTTTGCCATGGTTTTATGGTGTCTTATGGAGAGCTTGTTGGGGTATGTGAAAAAAAACAAATTCCTAATACATAAAATTGTATATGGCCAATAAAGTGATCTTATCTTATAAGTTTTTATAGTGTTTAAATAGTCTTTCAGTTGTTTTACTATACTGGGCCAAGGGCATACCACTATATAACATTAAAATGTAATATTAAATGTATCTAATGTATATTTGCTACAGTAAATCAATGTGCAATTTATAGTTTGCACTAAAAGCATGTTCATACTATAGGAGACCAAAATCTAACTCTAGTAATAAAACAGTAACACCTCAGAAAAAAGTGCCAAAATCCAATTTCAATACATTATCAAAAGTAAACTCAGATGAAAGTGGACAGCAAGACCTATTATCTGTAAATGGAGAGGTTACAAAATAATGTTACCTGGTGATAACTTGTAAAGCTTGAGCCCAGGTGTGTGTGATCAGGAAACCAGATTAAAAAAAACTCACAGTGGAAAAACTGAGGTTGAGTCTTGCTACCGTCTCATGTGGGATTTCAGCAGGAAAAACTGGTGGAGAAGCGAACTGGGCTGTAGAGGGAGAATGAGAATAGTAAAGGCCTGGATGCATGCATCAGCTGACATAGAGTTTTGCCTACTTTTTAAACATTCAAAAGAATACATTAACCAATCTTTTTCAGTCTTTTTCTTATTGTGGACTCCTGAACACAGATATTGACGAATGCAAGAGACTCCTGCAGATCCTTAGCTGTTACCCTAGGTTCTATCTCACCTTCTTGATCAGTATACAACTTCTAGGGATGCAGTGATATGGAATTTCTGGGCCGATAACGCTAACCAATAATTAACAGCTTGTTGTGGCTGATACCGATAACCGATAATTTTACTTTGTTGCATTTCAAAATAAGTTCACACTAAAATCCTCAGTTGATGTGTAATGAGGGTAAGAAAGCTAAAACTCTTATTATACTCATTGGACCAATGTCAGGAGTACATATGTCTGTTGTGAAGCCAATGTCTCTGACGTTAGCTTTGATCAGGTTGTTTTTGTGTGTGGCGACACCAGCAAGGTAACATCAGAAAAGTAGAGGAGCCTTGGGAGTGTCTAATGGGGTTCCAAATGCTCAATTAGTTGACGGAATCCTTGATCAAGTGCCATAAACTCCATGCTTTTGTCTGTGACTGCTTTAGCCTTTGGACTGTCCTTGGTAAATTTTCTGCAATTTTCAAATACCTGTTGGATAGGCATCACTGCACTTGCTAATGTTTTTGTTTTCTGGCTAATGCTAGCTGTGTCATATTCTTTAAATAAATCATTGGAATGACGAATTTTCAAATGACTTACTACATTAGTGGTATTGAAACGTTTTGCTTTGTTTCCTCCTCGCTGTACTTCGGCTGAACATTTGTTGCAAATTGCAATTCTGTTGTCCTTGCTGAAATGGGGAAAAAGTTCCACACCGCCTACATTTTCACTGTGCAGCAACTGTACTGTACCCAGTATAGTGCGTCAGTGCGTGCACATAAAAAAAAATTGTTGCACAAACAAAAATGGGGCTCTGCATTTTTGGTTGTAATTATCAGCTGTAATTCCAATATTGGAACAATAATAATACTTAAATTTTCCTATTTCTCAGAGATACTATATCAGCCTCGTATACACTGTGCACCCTAACAACATCCTCTTGTGGTGATCGGCCTTGCTCTTGCTGTGATTTTGTCTACTTTTTAAACATTGGATGGAATACAGATGCACAGAATGCATTTTTCTGTAGTTTCACATCAAGAATAACATATGTTTGGAAAGCTGTCATTTCTACTTTTCACAGAAACAGCAAAAATGACATGTTTAACTAGGGAATGGTCACTGATTCTGTATTGTACTTTATGTATACAAAACACAGTACGCATGCTCCTTTACATTAATTTATTTGTAATAAGAGGAGTGTGACTGTATGTTTCTGTTGTTAAAGTCAATGCTACTTTGCACAGGACGATATTATTACATATGTAATGCAACATATTAATATAGTAGGCAATATTGTTCATAAATTAACTATTGCATTTAAACACAATACTATCATGTCTATATTTCTTGTTTAAACACAATACTATAAAATGTAAACACAAAAAAAATATTTGTGGTGCTAATAAGGTTCTGTATGTTTTCTTGTCTATATTGAACACATTGTTTAAACATTCACTGTCTATGCTGGAAAAAGTATATGAACATCAAGGAAAATGAACTCTACTAAATGGGGTAATTGGAGTCAGGAGTTCAAATAAGTTTGAGGTGCCCTGGTCTAGAAAAACCCCACAAGGTTTGGTTACCCACAGAGTCTGCTCTTCACAATACAATACAATACAATACAATACACAATATATGTTGAAGTGAAACATGCCCCCGTCAAAAGAGGTTTCAGAGGACCTCCTAGGAATTTATGGTTGTAAGGCTTGAGAGGGCTACAAAAGCATTTCTAAAGACATAGGCCTCCATCAATCCACAGCCAGGTAAATAGTGAACAAATGGAGAAATTCAGCACCATTGGTACTCTCCTTAGGAGTGGTTGTCCAATAATGATCACTGCAAGAGAAAGCTGTGTAATGCTCAAGAATGTGACAAAGAACCCTAGGGTTAAAGCTTAGGATTTGCAGGATTCTTTTGCACTGGTTAATGTCTGTTTTCAGTCCAACAATAAGAAAAACACTGAACAAGAGTGGTGTACATACTGTAGGTGGAGAAAGAGTAAACCACTGCATTCCCTCCCAAAAATTGCTGTCTGTTTCAAGTTTGCAAAGACAACGTGGATGGAACAATGTTCTGTGGCCCGATTAAACACAGGTGAAACTTTTTGGCATTAATGCACAATATTATATTTGAACGAAAAAAATAATTGCATGCCAACACAAGAACCTCATCCCAACCATGAAGAATAGTGAAAGGAGTATCAATAGTGAAAGGAGCTTCTTTGCCCCTTAGGGGCAAGAAGTCTTGCATTAATTGAAGCAATGATGAATTCCAAATTGTATCATAAAATTCTAAAAGAGAATGTCTGGGTATCCGTCTGTGATCTGAAGCTTATCAGAAGTTGGGTCATGAAGCATGACAATGATCCTAAACACAGTAGTAAATGCACAATACAATGGTTTACACAGAGGGAATTGTGCATTTTGGAATGGCCAAGTCAGAGTCCTGAACTTACCCCAGTTGAAATACTGTGGCATGACCCAACGCAAGCTGCACGTGCAAGTCATCCCAAACATTCAATGAGTAGAAACAGTTCTGTAAAGAGGAGTGGGCCAAAATACCCCAGACTGATGTGCAAGTCTGATTAGCAACTACAGGAATGCAAACCTATTACTTGTTCCTTAACTACAGGAATGTTTGTTCAAGGTCATTGTTACTAAAGGAGGTTAAACCATTTACTAAATCTAAAAGTTCACATATGTTTTCCAGCATAGAAAATGAAAGTTTAAAAAATAAGTTCAATATAGACATGGAAAAGTACAATTGATTCTGTGTTTGTTTAATTTGATTGTGTTTATCTATTTTAATGACAGCGATGAAGATCAGATCACATTTTGGGAGCAATTAGTGCAGGAATACAGATAATTCCAAAGGGTTCACAATTTTTTTCTCACCTTGTATCTTACAGAGAAACATCCTGTATGTACAATATCACAAGAACTGTCTTATGAAACACCAAAAACAATAGGGTTTATGGAAAGTTTTTTTCAGAGAAAAAAAAACAGATTACTCCACTGTGAAGTTGTTCTTGCAGATGTACTGTAGCTTCTTCTACTTATATTTCATGGGGGGAACCTTTCTTTATTTTTATGCTTATTTAATCTTTGTTATCTCTGTGTGTAAATATAATTTCTTTATTGAACTTTGCTCATATTATACAATTTTATTTACATATGAGTGTTTTTCAAGGACATGAACAGAAAATCACATTGCATACATTCATCATAAAATAGTGTCTCTGATTCCAGTGGTGACCCCCAAATGCAGGAAATGGTTTTAATAGTTTTGTAGTCAACCATTTCACCTCGCAACTTTAAGAGTGCTAGGATACTTTTTACCCCTGCAGTAGTTTTTTATATTCCAGAACCACCAGCGTATACACAGACCAGAAAAGACAGTAATCCTACAAAGTTTCTTTTTATTACCTAGCATTTACAGTATATATTAAAACCTATCCAGAACATATCACACAAAATGTATCTTCAAGAGATACATTCCAGACTAGGACAAGAACCCGATGGACCCCAGTTAGTAAAATTAAGTGTCCCAAAGGAGCAGTTCAGCAGTGTCATTCTCTAAAAAAAGCTCTGGTTGGTGACTTGCTATGCAGCTTTTTATCAAAGGAAAGAAACTCCTGGCCATCCACAGAACATGGTCTCTGATACATCCCCCTACCTTGATTTCTGTGAGTCCAATGTCAGATAGGGGAAGACAATGCTGGGACCTTTCTCTGCTGCTATCTGTAGAACCTCTGATGACTGACACTTCTCTTGGGTCCAATTCTGTAATCTCAGTAACCCTCAATTATTCTCCCTCAAATCTTGCCTGAATCCTCCTCACTTGGGCTTATAAAGCCCCCTAGTCATGGCTAAGGATTCATCTTCAGAATAGTGGGAGTGTCCCTTTGATCTTTTGTTTGCATCTCAGTTTGCAGGGGCTCACTGATGAACTGAAGATGTATGCTGATGGCCGGGTGTACTGATGTATTGTCAATTCTTACTCTTTTCTGAAACCCCAAGCCCCCAAGAGGTCCAGTCAGACATGTCTCGCAATCCCACATGTCACTTCTATACTTTGTTTTGTCTTCTCAAGGAGTACCGTTTATCAATGGGAAGCTCAAGAAAAAGGAAAGACAAATCCACCACAATAAAGTATCCAATAAACTTCACTAGATGGCGCAAAAGACTCTAGAATGTCCCAGTTTTACAACTCATTCATTTATTTTTAAAGATCATACAGACATTTTATCACATTGTGTCTGAATTATATGAAAAATTAAAGAATTGAATCTATACAATTTTGACCTTTTAATATTGATGTCTTTAAAATACACATATTTTTCAATAAGTATACCTAGACATTGTGAAAAGGCCACATCCAGCATGTCTTTACTGGGTGTCTGTGTTTCATGCTTTAAGGGACTATGAGACTGATCAAAGAAAATCAAGCCAAACCAAGAGCCAGGGAAGGAAGATTTCAATTGAAGCCAAGCAAAGTCCTGATCTGAACTGGTCTGTCAAATAAAGTAAACTTCCCTGAAGCAAGAACCCTAAATTATTCAGATCTTGAAAAAGTATTTTTTTAATCCTTGTCTAGATTTTTTTACCTTTGAGACCAATTTTGGAGAACAATGTTATTGAAATGATTTAGTGATCACAGATAGCAATCTGCTTAGAAGTTGAAAAATTGAGCTAAGCCATTAAAAGATTAATTGTGTTGCTTTTGTTTTGACAGTGAACTATTTAGGACACTTTAAGAGATTTTATCTGAAATCTGGTGAATTACAATTCTTAAACCTTGTAGAAGTACCATTATCTTCTGC